TCTTGGGAATAGGAACAAATATGGATCTCTTCCAGTCAGTCAGCCAGGCAGCTGTCCTCCAAATTTCCTGGCACAGGCTGGTAGGCATGTCTAGGGTTGCATCTGTCATTTTAAACATGTCAACTGGTATCTCATAGATTCCTGCTTTTTAAAAAAAACTTCTATTTGTTTATTTACAAAGTTTGTTTACATTGTGTTTCACAGTATTTTTTCATTCACCTTGTGTTTCATACAATTATTCCGATTCTTGGGATCTTTTTGCCAATACTTTCACTGAGGTTTAAGCTTCTTTCCTAGAAAATTTCATATGATGCTTCCTTAACTACTTCAGTGTCATCTAATTCTTTTTGGTACAGTGATTCTGTGTATTTTCTCTGTCTTCTTTTGACATTTCATGGATCAAGATTTTGCCCCATAGCATCTCTAAGTATGGCCACTCAAGGTTTAATTTGTTCCTCAGTTCCTCTTTTTTAAAATTTTTATTGCAATTTTAACGAAAATTTACAGAAAGTTTTCACTCATTCATTGATTCATTGTTGCACATTTTCCTCTCTCCCCATCCCTTACCACTCCCCAATTCACTTTGCAGTGCACCTCTTGTTCCACATTGTTGTCATATATATAATGCTTCCTGTTGGATAGTTCTTCCCCTTATCTTTTCAAGCAAGAGAAATGCTGAGAAAGTTCTCTTTTTATACGTAGCTTGTCTTCTCAAGCTGCCTTTTAAAAATTGATATTATTCTATACTGTTTTACATGCAAAGTTCATAAAGTTCATCTTTTTAAATCTTCTGTTCAGCTCTTTTACTTCAGTATCTCTTCCCTTTGTTTTGGCGTCTTGACACTCTAGAGCTATTTTCAGGGTCTCTATTATAGTTCTTCCGTTCTCCTGTGTCTTTGTAATAATCTTTTGTTCCCTTCTTGGATGACAGCATCTCACAACTCATCCAGTCTTCAATCATTAGTGTTTAGGGCCTCAAGCCTATTCTTAAGATCATTTTTGGGTTTTTGTTGTTGATTTTTTCATCATTTTTGTTTATTTACAAAATTAAAATACATTGTTTTTCACACCAGATTCTTCCAATTTCCCTTACTCCTCCATCAAATTGCACAGCCCATGATTAATTTCCCCCCTACACACCCCACACCTTGTCATCCCTCTGCTTCCACTTGCCCCTCCCTGCCTTGGATCCTCTCCTCATACTCATTCTACAGTAATGACTTTATATAGTATTTGTCTTTGTGGAACTGAGTTAATTCACTCAGTATAATGCCCTTCAGTTTCTCCCCATTAGATAATAATTTATAAAATCATTACTCCTGGATGCTGCATAGTATCCATTGCATGAATATACCATAATTTCTCAATTCATTTGACTGTGGTTGGATATTTGGGCTGGTTCCATGTTCTTACAATGGTGAATAACCATTCATCAATTTTATCCTCTCCAGAGTGTACATTTCTGGCTGTATCTGGCAATCTCTTTATACCACAGACGAGGCCTCCTAAGCTTGAGTCCAGTTTGCCTCAGATGAACTTTTATGGGTTTGGGGTTGTGTGTGTGTGTGTGTGTGTGTGTGTGTGTGTTTAAAATAATTTTAATGAACATTTTCAGAGATTTTGGATTTCCATTAAATCAGTGCTGCACTTCCTTCCCTGCCCAGGCCTCCCCCGCCAACCTCCAGTTCGCTCCTCTCTTTGAAAAGTAAAAGAAAAACTCCCTCCCTGATATACAATCCCCCACACCCAGGCAGGATAGATTCAGGATTGGTTCTTATGGACTAGTTTTAATTTTCTTCAGTTTCAATTTAAACTTGCACATGAGTAATTGATGGTCACCTGGCCTGGTTTTGACTGCTGGTATGGAGCTTCACCAATGATTTTTTTTCTTTTTCTACAGATGTAATCAATCTGATTCCTATGCAGTCCATCAAGTAAAGTCCATATATAAAATTGTCATTTGTGGTGTGTTTGTATTTTTTCTATTTTTTTTAAAAAAACTTTATACTGGTTTACTTACAAAGTTTGTATTCACTGTTTTTCACACCATATCTTTCTCCTTTCCTTTACCAACCCCTCCCTCCACCTATATAACTGTGTGACCTTATGATTATGCTAAGTGAATGAACTCAGTCTCATAAAGACAAATAGTGTATAAGACTATTATTGTAGAATGAGTATGAAGATCCAAGGGGGTGTTGTGCTTAGTCATTTGTGTTTTTTAGAAAAGGTATTTGTGATTAATAAATAATTGAACTTACAAAATTCGATCATTCTACTTCCAACCCAATTTCTGTCACCAAGTCTGTATTTTATGACTACCATTACTTCATTGTTTCCAACTTTTTCATTTCCACTCCACTGGTGATTTCCCTAACTGCCAATTATCATTAGCACATCTTGATTGAATGTTTGGTAAATTTCAGACTTCAAAATTTGACAAAAATCTTCAATTTCCTCCTCTTTGGCTTTAGTTGTTGGTACCTATATTTGAATAATAATAATACTACTAACAGGTCTTCTCTGTATGCATGTGGATAATATTATCACAATACTGTACTTTAGGATAGAACTTAAAATTGTCTTTTTAAGTATGAATGCAACACTATTTTTCTTCTAGTTTTTGTTCTCGGCGTAGCATAATGTTGTCTGATGCAAAGTGGCCAAAGCCAGTCTCACTAATTCCTAGAATGTCAATGTTCATTTGTTCCATTTCATTTTTCTTAACTTCTAGTTTTCCAACAGTCATACTTGTTCATTCCATGTTCCAACTAGTTAAGGATGTTTGAAGCTGTTTCTTCTCATTTTGATTGACTTCCAATCTGGACTCTACCTTTAATATACTATCTCTCCATGTCCATATATTGTTCATATTGTTCTCAAAGGCCTGTTATTTCAACAAGGAATTCCAATAATCATTATGCAAAGCTAGACTAAAAAAGTAAATGTACTATAAAATTTTTATAAATGTGATCATGCATGGAAATTGATAATGACCATAACTGGCTGTTTAAAGAGTATGGACTTTGAAAAAAAGAAAATAAAGGATATGTACTATAAATCATTTGATAAAGCTGAAGTAGTTTCAGGAGGATAAGGTAGCTGTAAACTGGAAAGTACAAGAGAAATTTATCAGATATTATTGTATGATACACTCATGTATGTTTATCTATAAGCAGAAAATATTGAAAATCAAAAGTAAATTGGTGCTTCTTTTATTCTACAGAAAATTTGTTAAAAGTATTTGGTGTGCAATCAGTTTCACTTCTAGATGGCCCTTCTTGTGATGGAGTCACAATTTTACAAAAGATTAATCCACTATGCAAATGGCATGTGTAAGTGATTTTTGGCCAACTGGTGGGTTATTATTCAAATTAAGTGATTGTGGACTATTAAGGGGTTTATTCCATTTCTGTTCCTTGAACAGTACTTGAAATTGACAGGATGTAAATATAGGGTCACTATGAGTCAAATGTGACTCAACGCACATAACAAAAATAACGGCTGATTTACATAAAATGCAATCCAGTACCAAAAAGAAAAGCCTAGACTGAAGTGCATTCTTTGGGCCAAGGTGGAGCAAGAACCACACTAGATCCATAAGAGAAAATGCTAAGACTGAGGAAAGAAGGGTTGGCAGGTATAGCAGATCCTAGTAACAGAGAAGCTACAGCAGCAATACAAGCCTCAAGCACCACAAACCACCGTAGCAGGCTTTCCAGTCCACTCAGTGAGGCAGGGCTAAGTGCCTCTGTGATTGTTGGAATCCTCCAACAGCTCAGTGGAGAAAAGATGGGACAATTTCATTCCATCAATTTATCACCTCCAAAAACTTGCTGAATGGTCAGTTATGAGTCACTACCATCTTGAAGGTAATGAGTCTTTTGAGATGCCTGAAGGCTCCTTTATGGAAACAGATTGATAAAGTGACTGCAATAATAGCTTCAATACAGCAACAAACGTGAGGAGAGTGCAAGACTGTGCAGTTTTTGTTTTATTGTATAGGGATTTGCTACCAGTTGAAACCAGGGAGCTCCGATGGCTTAGTGATAAGGAGGAGTGCTGCCAAACCAAAGGCAAACAGTTCAAATCCACCAGTTACTCCAAGGAAGAAAGATGGGAATTCTCCTTCCGTGAAATTTACTGCCTCTAAAACCCAGAAGCAGGGTTGGTTCTGACTCAGTGATATACAATAACAGAAAATTAGTGGAAACCAATTCAACAGCACCTAACATCAACAGTTCTATATCTCAAACCTGATTCTGAAATGTAGCCTATAACCATCCTAGTGTATCTATAATTTATGCATGGTCTATAAATTCCATATGGTAAATGAAACAAGTTATGGGATGCAGCAGAGAAATAGAGTGCTGTACTAGAGGATGGCATCAGAAATGAAGAATTTAACAAATACAGGTATACCCGACCTCCTCTCACAGGAACCAACTTTTTGGTAAGGTTTATTTCACTACTTTAGTGAATTTAGATGGCTTTTGATGCTAGCTTTTAGCACTTAAGAAAGGCTAATAATTAAGACATTATTACCAAAAAATAGAAACATCATACATGAGAGGTGATTTACATGTGGTTTGATGGGTTTTGTTTTATTTAAGACAAAAAGTTAGGATAATTTTCACATTATCAGTTTATATGAAAAGAACTTTAAAAACACAAGCCACATCTTAATATTAGTCCTTAACTAGAAATACCTAGAACTATATTGAGACTAATTCAATGAGCTAGAATTTACAACCCATCATTTTAGAGACACAGTTAAATCTAGATCAATATATTTATTAACATTTGTGGCTATTATTTTCCTAACAAAGTTGATGAAATCTTAGAATTTTAAAATTATGATGTTGATTCTACCAAAAATGAGCTTGAGAATCTTGAATGAGGAATTTCTAGGAAGGAAAGCAACCAGAAGAGATGAATTCATTGTTTCCATCAGCTACATAATCACAAGAATTTTCAGGTGATAAATGGAAAGTACTTACATGATCCGAAACACCTAAGATTTTAGATGTCAAAATTTTCAAAATAATTGTTCCAAACCACCAAATGCAACCTTGAATTAGCTAGAAAATAAATTAAATACATAGGTATTAGGTACTAAAAAATACAAATTACTCAGAATATTCATCAACATCTATACATGATAGACAATTTTTAATCATGCAAGTTATCTTAAGTAGTGAGGTCTTTAAAAAGGATAAAAACATATTTTAGAGTATTTTAAGGGAAAAAATTGAAATTGATGCCACTGTATAAAATATATAGCAATATTAAAGTTCTACATGTCCTAAGTATATAATAATTTCTAAAAAGTTACATCTTTTCAATTTCTGTTGAGAGAACAGAAGAATTAGTTTTTCTCAAATTATTATTTTCAAGCAGAAAAACATATTCACCCAAACCATTATGATAAAATTTATCTTAACACCTCTGAGGCAATAAAATTTTATGGAATCTTCTTTGATCAAGAGGAATTTGAAGCTGAAAGTTTGTCTGTATTTCTTTTTTTATAAATTTAAGGTTGACAAATAATATTATTTATATAATCAATGATAAACATATTGTTTTATAACATTATCATTTATTAATATTATTGATTAATTATAATGTTTAATCAGATCCTTAATGTGTGTTGTCTTTCCCTTCCTCCAATTTATCTATTTATTATTTAATGACTAATAATTAGGATATAAGACCACTATTACAACAGAAATCTGGAGGACAACTACTTGGCCAACTGACTAGAAGAGATTCATATTTATTTCCATTCCAATAAAAAAGGTGACCTGACAAAAGTGTGTAAATTATCAAACAATATTACTAATACCACACATTAGCAAAATCCTGCTGAAGATTATCTAGAAACAACTAGAACAGAGAACTATCAGAAATAAAAGCTGGGTTTAGAAGAAGTCATGGCACTAGAGGCATTATTGCCAATGCCAGATGGATCGTGACCGAAATCAAAGAGTACTAGAAGAATGTCTATTTGTGTTTCACTGACCATGCAAAGACATTTGACTGTGTGGATCACAACAAACTGTTGCTAACTTTGAAGAGAATGGTAACCCCAGAACACTTGATTGTGCTTATGCAAAACCTATACTTGGATTAGGAAGCAGTCCTCAGAAAAGGGCAGGGAAACACAGATGCATCCTGTCTCCAAACTTTTCAACCTATATGCAGAACAGATCATTTGGGAAGCAGGGTTTTATGAGGAGGAATGTGACATTGGGACTGGTGGAAGACTCATCCACAACCTACATTATGCAGATGACATAACCTTGCTTGTGGAATCTGACAAAGACCTGAAGGGCTTGCTGCAGAACATCCAGGACTGCAGCTTTCAATATGGACTGAAGCTTAAAATCAAGAAAACAAAGACTCTCACCACTGTACCAACTGACAATACCGTGATACATGGAGAAGATATTGAGGTTATTAACAATTACAGCTTGCTTACCTCTACAATCAACACTCTTGGCACCAGCAGTCAGGACATTAAAAAATTAATTGCATTGGGAAAATCTGCTGTCAGGGACCCCTCCAGAGTGCTGAAAAGCAAAAATGTCTATCTAGAGACTATGGTGTGCCTAATCTGGGTCATGACCTTCACAATTACTTGTTATGTTTGAGAGAGTTGAACAATGACTTAAAGATGACAGAAGAATAATTAATGTCTTCAAATTGTGGTTCTGGAAAAGAGTCTTGAACATACCATGGACTGCCAAGAAAACAAAAATGTCTGTCTTGGAGAGAGTGAAATCAAGTCTCTCCTTGGAGGCTAGGATTTTGAAGCTCTGTCTCACATACTTTGGGAAGGTGGCCAGGAGAGACCAGCCCGTGGAGAAGGACATCATACTTAGAAGGGTAGAGGGGCAGTGCAGGAAAGTAAGATCCCAGATGAGATAGATTGATACAGCAACTGGGGCAATGGGTGCTAGTGTGTCAGAATTAGTGAGACTGGCACAGGACAGAAAAGGTTCAGAGCTGCTGTACATAGGTTCACAAGTGACTTGACAGTTTGTAATAACAACAACATTATAAAAAGCTAACAAAAGGTTTACTCACATATAGAAGCAATTTTGGAGTTTAACACTGATGACAAAAGAGGAAGAGGGGCATAAAATTAATAAATAGACAAAGAGAAAGACAAAGAACCAAAGAACAAAATGGGCAACGGACATGGATAGAAACTTCATCAAAGAAGACATTCAGAGGCCAACAAACACATGATCTTTAACTATTATTGTTGACGTTAGGTTCCACTAAGTCAACTAAGGCTCATAGCGATGCTATGAACAATAAATCTAAACCTTGCCCTGTCCTATGGTATCCTCATAATTTCTATGATGTTTGAGCCCATTGTTACAGTCACTGTCAGTTAATGTCATTGAGGGTCTTACTCTCATTCATCCACCTCTACCTTTCCAAGTATGATGTCTCCTTCCAAGGACTGGCCCCTCTTGACAATGTTTTCAAAATATGTGAGACAAAGTTTCACCACCATTGCCTCTTAGAAGCACTCGGGTTGCACTTGCTCCAAGACAGACTTGTCTCTTCTTTTGGCAGTCCTTTGGATATTCCACACTCTTCTCCAATACCATAATTAAAAAAAATTCTTCAGTCTTCCTTTTTCCTTGTCCAACTTTTAGATGCAAAGGAAGTAAATGAAAAATATCATGGTGATCCATTCTCTTCTTGTCTCTGTTACAGACTGTCTTTAGAAAGGAATGAAAGTGACCTGCATTGCTGACAAGCCCTGTCATGCTGATAAGTGATCTACTGGTGAAGGGAACGTGAGGCAGCAAGCCAGACTCCACCATGACCTCATGACGTACACAACTGACAAGAAAGAGAGGCAGCAAACTAGATTCTGCAAGTGGCAAGAGGAAAAGAGCAAGGTTCAGTGTGCACTCCACCTGTGCAGCATTAGAAATCAAGCAATAACAATCGACCAGCAACCCACCAACAACATACCCAGATAACAAATATAATTACACAGATAACCCATTAGCTAGTATACACACACCCCAAAAGAAAATAGATTATTCAAAAAATCTACCTACAAGACCACCATCACCACAATATCCTGGAAGAAGTCAATGACATCAAACCTCACAGAAAATCAAACAAGATGCCACTCAAAAAAAGTGATCAAAACACAGAGTCTGTGAACCTCCTGGAGGAGGAAAGACTGATAGAAACTCTCTGACATGGAACTCAGAAGAACAATGATCAACAGTTTTCAGTGGATGAAAGAAAGATACAAAGAACTGAAGAACGCTACAAGCAAAAATCTAGAAGAACAAAATATTAAACCAAAACAACCCATGACAAAGTAGATAAAACCAATGAAGTAATAGAAATCATATAAAAATGAGAAACAGCAATTCTGAATAATATAACCAATATTTCAGAAGCTTCAAGAGGGACTGGGAGCACAAGTGAAGAAACGAACTCAGAAAAAACAAAACAGAAGCTAAAGCAAGGTTCAGTATGCAAAACAGCAAATAAAAAGGAAAGAAAAATTTAAAGCCAAAGAATTATGTGTGATAGTATAAAGAGGAATAACATACATGTAATTGGAATTTCAGTATAAGAAGCAGAAAAATAAGCACTGAAAAAATTGTGGAAGAGTTACTAGAGAAAAACTTTTCAAGTATAACGAAAAATGAGAAAATATACAGCCAAAAGGCTGAGCAAACCCCAAACAGAATAGACTACAAAGAAAAACAACAAGGCTTTTCATAGTCAAATTCTCCGATATCAAAGAAGAGCATTCTGAAAGCAAGTAGAGTATATAAGGGAATAAATAAGATTAAGCTTTGATTTCTCAGAGGAAATTATGGAAACAGGAAGTTTGAGACATATACAAAATGTTCAAAGAAACTGTCAACTGAGAATCCTATAACAGCAAAATTCTCAATCAAATATGATAGTGAGATGAGAACATTCTCAGAAAAGTAAAAATTAAGGGAGCTAGTGAAACCAAGAAGGTATTTGCAATGAATAAATCATTGAATGTGCAGCACTCTAACATTCTATCTCCAGCCTCATTTCTCTCGCCGAGCCTGTTTTCCAGCTACTGATCCTTCTTCCCTGTTCCCAACTTTTGCATTCTAGTCGCCCATTATTATTAATGCATCTTGATTGTATGTTTGATCAATTTCTGACTGCAAAAGTTTGTAGAAATCTTCCATTTCCTCCTCTTTTGGCACTAGTTGTTGGTGCATACATTTGAACGATAGTGGTATTCACTGGACTTTCTTTTATGAGTATGGATATTATCCTGTAGCTCACCACATTGTATTTCAGGATAGATCTAGAAATGACTTTTTAAATTATGAAACCAACTCCATTTTTTCTCACCTTTTCATCCCCGGCATAGTAAAACATATGATCATCTGATTCAAAATGTTCCATGCCAAGCCATCTCATTTCACCAATACCTCCTATGTCAATATTTATGTGTTCCATTTGGAGAAGCTCAATATCAGCAGTGAAACTAAACTGGGTGCTGACTGTGGGACAGACCACCAACTACTCATACACAAGTTCAAGCTGAAGTTGAGGAAAATTAAATCAAGTCCACGGGAACCAAAATTTGACCTTAAGTCTGTCCGACTCAAATTGCAAAATCATCTCAGGAACAGGTTTGAGGCCTTGAGCACCAATGAGCTCTGGGAGGATATCAA